CTAAGCAAACATCATATAGATGGTAGAAGGAGGAAGAGAATGTGTTTCGCGGAGGTGGCATGGAGCTTCGAGAAGAGGGTGGAGAAACTTGGGTGGGTTAAGAGGGATGGGAAAGTAGAGAAGAGTAGAGTATGAGTGAAGAAGGATAGAAGGAGACGAACGGAGGAGGAAACGGCAGACCGTGGATCTAGATACATACGTAAGTACAAGAGTATTCAAGACGGCGCCGAGGAGCGATGTTTAGCATGTAGATGAAGATCTTGGTAATCAAGGGTTGCGGCCCCCCGGGCATGCTTCGTCAAGTCTCACTTATTTCTCTGCCTGTCGTCATGCGATTCACGATCTCGAGAGCTATGATATTCGAACAAGAGAGAGGCAGAGAAAGAGAGAGAGAGAGAGAGAGAGAGAGAGAGAGAGAGAAAGAAAAAGAGATTATTACGATTTTCGGGTAAACACGTAAACAAAATATCTCAATCTCGTTCTTTCTGTATAATATAAATATTGCTCAACTTTTACGTTCAATAATTGTCGATAATTAAAGTGGTAAGATCTCTTGGCAAAAAGGAAAAGAAGAAAAAATAAAAGGAATAAAAAGAAAAAAGAAAGAAAGAAAGAAAGAAAAAAAAAAGAAAGGTATTTCTAGAAACATTCTTACAATGGAAAGCCCTCGTTCGAACATGTGTATATTCGAAACGAGAGGAGTATCGTGTGTATTGGTTTTCAATTAATTACAATTTAACGAAAACGAGTCGTTTGAAAAGCGGCGGCTCGCCGCAAGGCTCGAGTCTCTCTTTTTCCTAGAATATCTGGGAGCTCACTCTCTTTCTCTCTCTTTCTCTCTTTCTCTCTCTCTCTCTTTCTCTCTCTCTCTCTCTCTCTCTCTCTCTTTCTCATGTCTCGTTCAAAATGATCGGGTCTCTCGTCGTTCGAAAATTCACCCCGTAATCGACGGACAAAAAGTAATTTCCCATCGAGCAGGACAAAGGGTGATTTTGCATGGGGGGAGTCGTGCCGGCGATAGCTACGGGGGTGGCAGTGACCGGTGCGTGTAACGACCTACCCTTCTGCCTCCCGCCGTTTCCCACCTCCACCACCAGTAACTCCAACTCCTCACTCCTCACTCCTCTCCTACTCACTCCTCCCCACACACGAACAGTCGTGGTTCGAACGCGTTTACGACTCGGACGCCACGTGCGCTCTATGCGTAGAAAAGGTGAGTGGTCAGAAAGTATATGTGTGCGTATATGCGTATGAGTGTGTAAAAGAGAGAGAGAGAGAGAGAGAGAAAGAGAGAAAAAGATAGATAGACAGATAGAAGCATGTGTATGCGTTCGCGGCCGATGTATTCGATCCGTTGGTATGTGGGGCTCTGGGACAATTTCACTACCCTCCCTCCGGCACTCTCTTTTCTACACGTTCACTTTTTTTCCTCCCTGATCTCGCCCATGAAATTCTAGGTGAAAGTGGATCACCTGCTGAATTTCAATTATCGAATAATTATAGAAGTTTTTTCTTATTAAATATTAATCCTAATTATTAATCAAAATTGTAAATTGAAAATATTTACGTGTAGTTTACGTAAGTATGACGATTTGAAAGAAATTTTAAATTTCCTTTGAAGGGAACAAACACGTATAGATACTCATAACTATATAATAGATAAGTATTATTACATTGGCGATGATTAATGGGCAAAATAGAAGAAAAATAAGAGGGATGATTTGAAGAGAAGAAAAGTCGTCGACACGAATAGAATTTACCGCGAATCGGTAATGTAGCACAGCTCGGCTAGGTCGCAGGACGATAAATCGGTATGGCCAACTGCACGAGCCAACGAGCCGTGTCCAGTTTGCCGTCCCCTTGCAAAGCGCGAGTAGGAGAATAGAAAGAGAGAGAGAGAGGGAGAGAGAGAGAGAGAGAGAGAAGAGAGGCGAAAACGAATGGACAGAACGAAGGGAAGGGTAGGAGAAAGACGGAAAAGAGAGAGGACAGGACCAGCAGGATGGAAAAGGGAGTAAAACTAGATGGAAGAGGAGAACAAAATGGAAGACAGAAAGAGAGAGATATAGAGATATAGAGATAGAGATAGAGATAGAGAAAGAGAGAGCGAGAGAGAGAGAGATGAGGCTGTTGGTGGCTCGAGTGGGGTATGGAAAGGGGGCGGGATGTGTAGAAGGGGTAGGAAAGTCCGAAGGGTGAGAGGGACTATCCCGACATTCACCGCACGCTATTCTTCATACTCCATTATCCGTGCTCTACTCCACTCTACTCCATTATGCCGGCACCGCGTATAAACGAGGAGTCCTACCGCTCCGCCCCCACTCAACGAACCGCCGTGTGTCTATCAGCTTGCTCGTATGCCACCCCCTCGTGCTACAGCGATAAACATTATCCGCGGTAACTTCGACCGGCCGAAATGGTAAAAGTACAACGCCCGTCCGCTTTGCCGAACAAATTTCGTCGATGCTTCTTCTCTTCTCTCTTTTTTTCCCTCTCTCTCGCTCTTTTTTTTTCTTTTTTTGCTATTAACTTCGAAATTCAAAAATCAAGTACCCAATTTCATTCATCTATTCTACCCTTTCGTTACTTATTTACTAATTATTTCTTAATCATTTAATGTATTTAATTTGAATTGTATGATCACGTTGTACATTTTTTAATATGTATCTATAGTCAAATATGTTTGGGATCGATTGGCTTCGTTAAATTAAAAATAAATAATAATTCTCGTACTCATCAATTTTCTCTAAATATTACCTTTTTCTTTCTCCCTCTCTATCTCTCTCTCTCTCTCTCTTTCTCCCTCTCTCTTTTTCTCTTTCTATTTCTATTTCTCTCTACGAAACAGCTGCAAGAGAGTCTCGCTAGCTACCTTCCTTTCCACGTTTAGGTTTAATTAAATCTTTTGCGAATTTACATATGTATACACACACCTCCAGCGGAAAATCCTTTAGAACCCATAGCAGGCTGGCGGTCCTTTGTAGAGATTCGTCGTCTCGTTACCCTCCGACGCCAACGCTCCGACGGCAACACCAACGATGGTAGCTTCCTCATTCAAGCTGGAACGTAGTCGAAGTCGAAGGGGCAATTAGGGAGGCAAGGATATCGCTGGAAGGATCAGTCATTGAAATTAAAACGAGTTTAACTCTGTCTGTCTCTCTCTCTCTCTCTCTCTCTCTTTCTCTCTCTCTCTCTCTCTCTCTCTCTCTCTCTCTCTCTCTTTCTCTCACCGTCATTCTCTCCCTCCCTCTCTCTCTCTCTCTCTCTTTCTCTTTCTCTCTCTTTCTGTCACTGTCTCTGTCTCTGTCTTTATGATTCCAAATGAAAAACAGGATGATAAAACAAAGTCGAGTAGACGTGATTATCTAATAAAATGAAAAAAAAGAAAAAAAAAATAATAATAATAATATAAAATAAAATAAAAAAACAAAATGAATGGAGAAAATCTCTCAACGAGAAAAAAGGCATACGTAATGTCAGTCAATTGCAATGGAACACACAACAAAGCGAACATCATATTTTGAAATACACTTTTTATTTCGACTCGGTCAAAAACTACGATAACAATAGGTAATGGATATGTATATCGGAAATCATTCTCGTGAACGCAATGTATATGTGTGTTTGTGTATTCGTCGTCGGCGTGGAAAAACGAATAAGCGTCGCCGACGGCCAGGGGAAAATTTCGAAGTTCGGGCTGACAATGAAAGAAGAAATCTCGAGCGTCGATTTTCTCGTTCTTTTTAACTCGAGCGTCGATTTTCTCGTTCTCTTTCTCTATCTATCTATCTTCCTTTCTCTATTTCTGTCTCTTTCTCTCTCTCTCTCTCTCTCTCTCTCTCTCTCTCTCTCTCTCTCTCTCATTTTCTTTTTCTTTCTCTTATTCATCTATTTCTCGAGGCGAGCAAAACCGAGCTTCGAGACTTCGAATTTCGTTTCTTTAACGGAAATTTCGATGTGAGGTCCTCGGCAGCGTACCACTGGTGCAGAGCCTTTTTTCTTCGTTGAATCGCTTTCTTTGTAATCTACGAACGAACATCGCCGTCGTTCTTCGTCTTTCTTTCTCTCTCTCTCTCTCTCTCTCTCTTTCTCTCTTTCTCTATCTCTCTATCTCGCTTCCTTTTTCACACTCTCATTCTCACACTCTCTCACTCTCATTCGCTCGCTATGCGACAAAGATTCTCTTCCTATCCTCTCTAGGAACGACATTAATTTTGTTCAATGTTATTTTATTGTTGTTGTCTTTTCTTTTTCGTTTTCTTTATTTTTTTTTTTTTATATCCCTATATTTTCATAAGATAAAATTCGTTTATCAAATTTTTGTCGCTTCCATTGAGAATCGAAAGAGATCACTTTTCGCTGGACGTTAACACCGTAAGCGTCGGATCACATCGAGATTGAACTCGACGAGAAATTGCACAAATGTCCCACGATATAAATATCGTACTCATTGGAAATATATATATATATATATATATATATATATATATATACTATGAAAACATAAAGAAATAAATTGTCTCTCGCGTCGTATCTCGATAGCATCATCGTCGTCATAATTATCAGTATCAATATCATCGTTATGATCATTATCATTACCATCGTCGTCGTCGTCATCGTCGTCATCATCATCATCATCATCATCATCATCATCATCATCATCATCATCATTATCATAATCATCATCATCATTATCATTGTCGATTAATGAATTCGACGAAACGACAGACGTTTTATCTATGTACAACTATATACAATATCGCCATTTGGCCTAATCGTTAATACCAACCGCCGCACCGTGTCGCACACTCTCGCTCGCACGAGCCATTTCCGTAATTAATTACAGACCTTTTCATTGTGCCTTTGCATCGTAATAAAGTTCGTCGATACAATTCGAAGATACAATCGAAAGAGGTCCGTAGCGAAGCTATAGTTTATTTAACACCTAATGCACGAATTCCTGAAAACGAGTGCGTTTACAGCCAAGCGTTTTTTCCTTTTTTTTTTTTTTTTTTTTATTATTTTTCTTTCGTACTTTCGAAGATCCGATGATCTCGACGATTCGAGAAGATCTCCACGGAAGGAAGAAAAGTAAAGTTAGGTTTAAAAAAAAGAAAAAAAAAAAATTAAGAGAAACGAAGAAATAAAAATGAATTTGTGGCCCGATGAAGAAGAGGAGACGTATAATAACATTCACGTGTCGGCCCTGAATAGAGACTCGTTGTTTCATCGGCTTCTGTTCAAAAACAATAACAGCCGGCTTCGTCGATAACGACTCTCGTTGTTTAATCCAAAATTGAATACCTATCACAGTCTGTTTAAAATGTCTGAACGCTCAATGACGATCGGGAATGACGACCCGACGCCTCGTTTCTCTCTCAATAAGGTCTCCAGACATTATTATCCGGTCTAACCTCTTCCTGTCTAACGCTACAACTCTCGGTGACTGCTCTCTGTTCAGGACTCTCCGAGTTCTGGAATTGATTCCCATAGAGCTGAGAGTACAGTATACTCGGTAATACGCCTGGCGTTGGAAAGTAGTTCCCGTAGTTCTGGCCGAATCCTTGTTCCTCGTGAACAGGACTCTCCGTGGTGCTTGAGTCCGTTGACAAGGACCTTGGAGAAACGTAGTCTTGATATCTTTGACTCGTTGTGCCGGACATGAGTGTGCTCAATGGATCCAATGGATCGGATTGACCTGGCGTTGTCGTGTCCGGTACTACTGTGACGATCAAGAAAAAAGAGCCTACATCGCAATGAATCGATCAGCTGATCGGATTTCTTAACTCCTTGCGGTCCTATTGATTATCGTCTATTTTGAGTTGGCTATATTTGCCGAATCAATTTACAACTATATCTTTTATGGACCATGAATGAATAAAATTGTTTCACTACTTGTAATCCCAATTGTTATTATCGTGAAAATCCTCCAATACTCGTGAATCATAGTTTTTAGGTTGACCGCAAAGCGTTATTTCCTTTCGTCCGAAGATATAAACCCGAACGAAAAAAAAAAGATTTAAATACGAAATCACTTACGCGAGGAAACCCCGGTGAAAGCGTCCTGCTGAGGCGTAGTACCGGTGGTACCGGAAGTGACGGCCGATCCCGCAGTCGAATCGGGAGCTGTCGGCGTGGTCATAGCAGCGGTACCAGCGAAGGACGCCAAAGAAGACGATGGTGGTGGTGGTGGAGGGGGAGGAGGTGGCGGGGGTGGAAAAGACGCTTGTGCCGCGCAAGACGAAAGAGGACCAGGAAGGTACCCAGCATATCCTGCTGTACTTCCGTATCCCCAGGAGTTGCTCGCCGTCAAACCGAATTGAGACATGTCTGTGTGTAAGACCCTAAGGGAGTTAGCTAGCCAAAGCTCGCTGAGCTTCATTTGTAAGTTGATGTTCAAAGCTTTAAAGAACGAAAGAAAGGAAAAACAAACAAATAAAATAAAAAAAAAAAAAAACGAAAAAGCAGAAACCCCAAAAAATAACCAAAAAAAATATCGAGGTAAAGATAAAAAATGTAGGATATTATTTGTCGATTAAAAGCACTTTACGAGGTACCTCGTCAATTCGTCCTCTCTTTCTCTCTCTCTTTCTCTCTCTCTTTCTCTCTCTCTTTCTCTCTTTCTCTCTTTTTCTTTCTCTCTCTCGCGCTCTCTTTGCCGGATATATTTTCGTAGGATATAGGCAGCTACCCCGATAGATTTTCCAATGAGTCACTCCGTGAGGGGTTGTGAGGTGGGAGAAGGGCAGAAAGGACGAGCGTGACGGCTTCGGTGGCGAGGTATGAAGGGGGATGGCGGGCAACGGACAAGGCAGAGGGGGCACGGAGATCAAAGGGTTGGTCATCCCCCCGCGTACCTTCGGCCAACTCAAATAACCGACGAGCTTCGGCCGACGAACGAGCCACTGGCCCGTCGTCACGAGAGCTAGCCCTAAATACTGCATCCCGCCATGCTTTTACATCGTTCCGGTTCCACCAAATTCCACACCGCGTCCTTTTCCTCCTCCTCCTCCTCCTCCTCCTCCTCATCCACCAACTCTACTTCCTCCTTCTCGTGTTTCCTTTTTCCAAGAGAGCCACACAACTTTCGTCCGAGCCACCCGCATAAGAAGAATCCACGTTGCGATTAAAGTGCCACTAAATGGACAGGGCCCTTTCTATGTATCTCTATCTTACTTTTTAATCAGCAGAGATCTCAACGTCTAAACTAAACAGACCGAAGATGATGCCAGTTAAAGCTACGGTAGTTTCGCACGTCTGAACGTTAACTCCAAAATATCGGCCTAGAATTTTCGAATTATCGAACAAACCGGATTCAATGAGGAAAAGGCGTGGAGGTAAAGTTAATAAAGGAAATATTCCGTGCGCTTCATACTTTATCGAGGAATTTTACCGGGCTGGCCGATTTCTCTCGTCTGAGGTAATTCGTTAAATTGATTCTTGAATCAAAGTTGAGAAGATATTAGTCTCTCTTTTTCTTTTCTTTTTCTTTTTTTTTGT